CATCCAACCCCCCACCGTAATTTTTCCATTTAGTAAAAGCAAACATTTTGCCGAGTTTAGCAAAAACATGAATATTCATGAACGGTCAGACAATAAAGCCTTTTAGTACGTAACGTATAGTGAATGGGAATGTGCGATGATCCGTTCAGGAGGTAGAGGTCAGTGGTTTGTGCTGGCAATGTTCACGCGAGCGAAAATGAGACAATCGGAGCAATATGTCCTTCTAATATAAACAAATAACAAATATAATATTGTTTACACTTTTGCAACCTATTACATGGTCCATTTAGAAACAGCACCAGGAATAGGATAACAAGCCCCCCCCCCCCCCCCCCCCCACCCCCTGTTTTCTTAAGCTAGGAAGTATCAAAACATGATTCTATTAAAATTAGCAGTTTGGATACAACAGGCAATGATGATTAGCAGTTTCCATATTTAGTGCATTTAGAGGGTTGTCTTTCAAACCTTCTTACATACAATACTTGAAGCAGCAATAATGTAATAATCTACAAAACTTCAAATACAGAAGTCCATAGACTGAGGTAAATGAATTTCAACATGTATAATTATAATTAAAATATCATTGATTGATTCAATCTTTGATATAGACTGAGATCTTTATCACTCAAATTTCAAGGAAATTTCTTTCTGCCCAGCACTCAGTTTCATCCTATAAGATGGTAGTTGACATTGTTAAAATGTCATTAATGTTTATTCATTGATGATTAGTTTAATTATTTGAAAGTTGACAAGATGATAAATTCATTAGCTTTTTTTAAATGTGGAATTCTACAAACATATAATACAAATAATAAATAAATAGTATGTAAATATTCAAGTTTAAAACCATCTCTACTGTCCTCTTTCATTATATGAGGGGGCATCTTTAAGACGTAGTCCCATGTAGATGTCTTCTGCATTCATCGATGAAGTTGTAGGCTAGTTTTCAGAAGAAAGGGCTGTGATGATAACCCAAGTCTGTTGAATGGAAAATGAAATAAGATACAGTGTATAAGAAAATAAACAACAACTAATAACATACAACCTGATACCTGCTCTGACAAAAAGAGGAAGGACTAATATTCACTTGGGGTTCTAGTGGGAAAACCTAAACTTTTTTTCCTACAAGACTATTTACTGACCACATGTTAGATTATTTCTGATGATCCCATTAAGACAATAGGCCTGATGGAGCTTGGATCAGACAAGTATGATATAAGTAATAGTGGTACATGTACAATGTACTTGTAATGTAAACTCGTGGTCATAAATGAATAGTACTCGGTTTACATAAAATGACCAAACAACTTGGAACAGAGAATGTACAGGAAATAATGCTATTGAAACATACGTTATGTAGACTTATATTTCATGTATATTGACATTTTAGTTTTAATCTAAATCACAATTGTGATATTCAGTCAAGTATTCTTTTACAAGTCAATGGACAATGAAAAATATAATTGTCAGATCTATAACTTTCTGCATGATAAATGTGTTCTACAATAGTTTATTGGGGGTACCTACATGGTATATTAGCACACTTGCTTGTATGAAGTGCAGTAGGCCCACATCTCTAGATATGATTCTGTCAATATCTGTTCTTTATTCCTCTCCTGGGTTTGTAATCAGCATGCTTTCATCATCCACTGTAGAGAAGCATCATCCTACATAAGAGAAAGCAATGTAGGTACTTCAATTAAAAAGTGATAATAATAGATACATATCAACCATAATTCATCGTATAAACAGACTTTCGTTAATCTTATGTTGTGTTCTTCTTCATCTTCATTGCTCAAGAAGTGAAAGGACCACTTACAAAAAAAAAGTAATGAGGGGTCCTGTGTATACCCTACATGTATGATCATTATCATTATTATGTAGTGCTTTGAATGTGCATTACTGGACATCGTTCTTCTACACACAGGACCTCCTGTAAATAAGGACAAATCCCTTTGTAAACAAAGAAAGGGAAGAACTAGAATAAAATATTCCCTCCACTATACACACTTGAAACATACACTTAGTTCCATTTCCTTTTTAGTGAATTAATAGGTGGTGGTTTAATATTTGTGTGCTAAATATCCTGAAAATTTTACCTGCATGGGACTTTCAGCTTCATCTTGAAAATATAAGAAATGTTGTAATGTCTACTCATCATTTAACTCCTTCCAGCTCTTCATCAGTTTCCATCTGTTGGAACAAAAGAAAACAAAATCAATACGACAATCAAGGCGTCCATTTCTCCTTAACAAAATAAAAATAGATCTAGCATAAAAGCTATTTTTCATGTCATGGTTGGCCTTAATTTTGATATAGTGTGGAAATCAACATTCCAATTAATGGACCACAGTACAAAGTAAAATCAAATGGAAGATTTAACGTGTGCCTCAAAAAGTGCTTTATATGGCCTATAAATATAAAGTAGTCTCAAGTAGAATTGGTTTATTAAGACAAGAAGAAGTAGACTTCATAAGTAAACATAATTGTGGACAAGGGGTCTTCTCTTACACAAACAAATAGATTTATCAACATGAACTGCACAATTCAGAGAAAAAAAAATCTCTAATATATTAAAAGTAATAACAGGAGTCAGAAGCGTACGCAGGGGGGGGGGGGGGGGGGTTGGGGTTAGCCCCCCCCCTACCTTCATTTTTTTTTTATGTGTATGTTTTTCTGGAAACCCCCCCCCCCCTTTTTTTTTTTTTTTTTTTTTTTTTAATACAAAAAAAATCCAAATGGATGACCTAACCCCCCTCCCCATGCTTATTTAGTGGCTGGCTGAGTCGTTGCGAAATTGTTGGTCCGATTTCAAAATGTTAACCCCTCCCCCTTGAAAAAATCCTGCGTACGCCACTGATAGGGGTCTAGATCTAGATCTAGTAGTAAGGTCAAGGTCTAGACTCTAAATGATAACTTGACAAGCATGCTGGACCCACACAAAATCTAATTATTAAATAAACAAATCCTAGTGTTGATGTGTTTTTTTAATACTTTTTATTAATAAGTTCCAGGTTTACATCTAAATGAAATAGGATTTGGAGTTGTTTGATTATCAATGGTCACAGATAATTTTGGTCTAGATCTAAATAAAGTTGACACGGATGCAACTGAGCGAACGGATGGCACTGATAAGTAAAGCCATCAGAGTCAACATCTACTAAAGATTTTAACAAGAATTAATCCACTTGGATTATCAAAAAAATCATGCTTCAGAGATTATTGTAAGGTGTAACGTTAAATCTAGATTTAAATTAAATCGATGATTGGTGAATTAGATTCATGATGACGATCAAATCTGAAATAAAACTTGATTAGAAAGTTTGATCTTGATGCAGATGAGCACCGAAATTCCCCGGGGTGGGCCTGCCGGAACGGCCGGGCCCCTAACTGGAGTACTACTAGGGTGAAATGATGGCAAACCGCAGTCAAACTACTTCATGACGATGAAAATCAAAGTTCAATTTCAAGAGCAATAATTTCCTAGTCTTTTCCCCAAAAATCTGTTGAGAACGGTCTCACAATGTAACGAAATTACCGTACATCACGAAGACTATTGCAGCTTTTTTAAAATTGATGACTAAATTCACTTAATCTACTCATATTTCAATCAAGTACTCACCCATTCTCAATGAACTAACTCTTCTCAGTTTGTGCGAGTGTAGTAGCGTCGTGCATAAATCTGCATAATTAAAGTGACGCGCATGAGGTCAAATATATCATCCGGTTTCTTAAACGATACTATCGATAAAATACATATTCATGAGGCTCTTATCCAATCAAAAAGCCGCCTCGGGTGCTTATTTTGTCTTCAAATGATCCAAAAGAGGCGGAGCCTAATCCCATTCGTCTGCATGGTTTCCGCGCGTGCTGCTTTCCGTCTAGTAATTATATTTAAACGTCTTTGACATGTGTATATGACAGAGTACGCACGCCGCACGTCTGTGACGTAGGGAATAATGAATATTCATATCGCCGTTAATCTTGGTGCCAATATATGAATTTTACACTAAAACTAGAGACTAAATTTTAGTTCAAAGTGTCTACCTATGGTGTATTCAAAGTTGAACCATTGTGCTCATGCTGTAAAACTTGGCTGTATGTACAGTACACCACGGTTAAATTAAACCATAGTCTTCATTATCCAATCTATTCGAAATAAAACATAAGTAAAATAGTAAGTCATATGTGCTTTAAAATAGATTTATTGTTAAGCTCGTCAATAATTTGTGAGCTTGTCAAATCAAAGTAAGTTAAAACAATTATGTATAAACAGAGTCACCTAGCAAGTAGCAGATATATGTGGTTCATGTTATTATTATCATTTTATTTCATTTCTTTATTTAATCATTTGAACGAAATTACAGATGATTTCCCGAGCTACTTGAATAGTTTGTAAGTCAAAATCTACAGTACATTGCATGTTTTTCTTTTCTTAGGGTGAAAATGAAGGGGGGGGGGGGGGAGATCTACCAATTTGTCCCTATACTTCATTGATTTAATACCAATCTCAGATTTGAGAAAGCAATTAAATCTGTTATGTGTTATTGGGCTTTCAAGTTCAAGAGGGGGGGGGGTGAGTACTATTTTTTTTCCTTCATTTTGCCCCGGAAATATAACAAACGCGCCGACCGATATTTGTGTGTATACTACTTATTTAAACACCCCCCTCTAAATTTTTCTGTTTTTTGTTTTTTGCCAGGGCCAGGTCGGGTGTGGGGGTCGGGTGTTGGGGGCGGGGCCAATATTTATTTTTTGTGTACAAAAGGAAAGTAACATTACCATCTTTTTTTAATCTGTTTTTTGCCAGGGGGTCCGGGCCCGTCGGGCCGCACCCTCCGCCCCCCCCCCCCCCCCCCCCCCCCCCCCCCTCACCGTGGATCCGTGCCTGCTAAATATGGGAGTATTAGTTTTCGGTAACGAGAGAGAAACTCGACAGAGATTTTTATTAATGACAAATGATACTCAAAGATACCATACTATTAGAATACAAGATAGTCGGAATCTTCTACAAGGATCTGGTGGGGAATGGAAAAGCCTTATTAATTTGCAATAGTTTCCAATATTTTGGTTTCATAATGAGTAATATATACATCCAAGAGCCCCCAACGAATGGAAAGGTAATATCATAAACATTAAGAATATATTTTGAATTCATTTTGAGCATTTGTATGAAATTGGGTCTGTTCTGAGCTGTGTGGTGGATATTGATGTGTAGTCCCATACCTGTCTAATTGTGTAACGCCGACTAACGTCGGTATACAGTGCGTCCCAGGAAAAACGAAACCGAGAATTATCAATGTTTTATCATAACTTAATCACAATTATAATTAATAAATGACACATATTTGTAAAGCTTAGATCCTCCTCTTTCATTTGATGCAACTCGTATGATTCACGCATGACATGAGTGAGTGATTAAAAACAATTTGAAGAGGGCACCCAAAAGTCATTTGGCGGGCGGTAGATCTATCTGAATTTCAAAGAGAAAATCACATTTCTAGAAAGTTCTTCTTTTGCCTTTTCATATGACAACTCAATCAGGAAAAATGAATCAGGAATAACAAAGTTCTGTTTATTTAAGTAATGCTTGCATTTCCATAATTTGATTAAACAAATTCGTTTTCACTGGCTGCCTGCTGTAGCAAGAAACAGAGTTGACTGTCACTTAACTCCGTTTCGTTGCCGATCAGCCATGCATCAAGTCTTTCTTTGAGCTTAGCACGGCTGATCGTCAACGAAAGGGGGTTAAGTGTTTTGTCAACTCTGTTCGTTGCACTCCAGCAAAGCATAGAGAGTCATACTCATAGACCAATAGGGATAATAATACCAACAAAAATTGGAAGAGCCACTTTATTCCTTGTGTTATCTATTGTTTTTAATAATTTCTTATGCTATATAGACTATGTATTTCTTTGTTTTTTTAACTTGTGTATTTTATTGTTTTTGTTGTTTTATTTGATTTCTTACTATATTTTGAATCCCAAAATAAACACCTTCACTATAAACAAGACCAAATCAGTCTAACCAATGTTTGATCTCTGTTTTGGAAAAATGAGATTTTCATATGTTTTGTACACAAATCAAGAAAATGATTGATTTTGGGGCTGACATGCAAAGACAAAAGGTCATGTGACTTTGTAACAGTAGGTCCGATTTTCAAAGAAAAAGAATCAAAAGATGCGCAAGACTCAAAAGAAAAAAAGTCAGCGCAAGATTCTTTTGCATAAAAAATTATCACAAAAAATGTAGAGGGGGGCTTCTAAAGCCCCCCCCCCCCCCCCAGGCTATAGGGTTAAGTGGCAACAAAAAGCACTCCCTTAATACACGACACATCTAAAGGAGTTTGATTTTTAAAAAGTTCAATTTTGAAACACAACTGATTATTCTAAGCTCTGCTTAGCATTTCACTGCAAACATTTTTTCTCCCAATACTGGTTGATCAGGTTCTCCTGAAGACATCATGTGGGGATTTGGACATAGAGCTGTGGACCAAGGAGGCGCCCAAGGCATGCAGGAACTTTATCCAGCTCTGCATGGAGGGCTACTACGATGGCACCATCTTCCATCGCATCATCAGGAACTTCATGGCTCAGGGAGGGGACCCTACAGGGACAGGTGAAGGAGGAGAGTCAATCTATGGTCACCCTTTCAGAGTGAGTTACAAAAAGTAGTGGTGGTGGTGGTGGTAGTAGTGGTAGCGGTAGAGGTGGTGGTAGTGGTGGTGGTGGTGGTGGTGGTGGTGGTGATGGTGGTATTGGTAGTAGTGGTAGTAGTAGTAGTGGTTGTGAGTGGTAGTGGTAGTGGTAGTGGTAGTGGTGGTAGTGGTAGTATTAGTAGTAGTAGTAGTAGTATAAGTAGCAGTAGTAATCATCATCTGCATCATCATCTTCATCATAATCATAATAATGATAAAATGATAACCACAACAACAAAAACAATAAGAATAGTAATAATAATATTATTTATAAGTGCTTTACATGTTACAAGTAATAACATTTATCTATCATATTTATTTTCATATACGGTAGATGCACTTCACTTTTTTTTCAAATGATCAAAATCCAAAGAGGTCAAATTAAAATTTCAATCAAGCTTTGATTTATTCACCCTTTTCTTTTACCCATAGGATGAATTTCACTCCAGGTTGAGATTTGTGAGGAGGGGCCTAATTGCTATGGCTAATGCTGGTCCCCATGACAACAGCAGCCAATTCTTCATTACTCTTGGTCCTTGCGAGCATATACAGGGCAAGCACACCATATTTGGCAAGGTATGGTGACATGAGTTTTTATTTTTAGCAGATTTCGTTGCTTCCATTGATCATATTTCTTGACTGAAACAGAGATGAAATATTTTCATTAATGCCTACATAAGTTTAGGTAGCAGTTTCATTGATTAAATTTGAAGGATAAAAAATTGGAGTTTTGATGCTATGGTTCTTTGTCAACTCATTGCCTACAGGAACCGGGCGGTTATTTTATTAAGCCTATGGAAATTAAGCTTAAGTGTGAATTCAGTAGGTTGCATTTTTTTATTGGGCGTAGCTATCTTCCATTTTAGTAAACTGCAAATGCATATATCTGCTTTACTTTCAGGAGTATTACGCATGCGGTACGCTATTCCAATTCGTGGCTGGGTTTAATATTCATGACAAAAAATTGAGGTTAAGAATACCCGGTACACAACACAAAGTTTTTAAAAAGTCGTTTATTTTAGATTTCAATTTTAGAAAACAATTCTGAAATCCATTTGGTAGTTGTCGTCACTTCAGTTATTATATGTATCTAGCCTATTATTATAAGAACAGAAAAAGTCTTGCAGCGGTTGACAAAAATAAACAAGTGAAGAAGAAATAATGAAACAACCGTAGGAGATACAAAACATATGAATATAGCCAATCAGTATCATCCATTGATCTGATTAGCAAGTCTTTGGATTAATTTGTTTCTTTGCTTTACTGGGATATTGCAGCATACTGTCAAAAGAAACTTCATAAAGAAATAAAAGAACAAATGATCTAATTATTTTTCATACAAGATTTGCTGTTCTTTCGTTCTACTTTATTAGATTGCAGGTGATACCTTATACAATGCTGCCAAGCTAGGTGAAGTAGACATTGGAGCAGATGACAGACCAGTCTATCCACCCAAGATTAAATCCACCCAGGTAAACAAAACATTTTTTTAAATAATCAGGTGGGCTGTATCTAATACAGACCACCTTATATTTTTGTTAAAATTGCCTTTATTATTTATTTATTTATTTATTTATTTTTCTTATTTTGACCCACTTTTTTGTTAGCAAGATAACTTTGAAATGGTTCAATCAAATGCTTTGATATTTGGCACACATATGTATAGGCATATGGACAAGACACGGTAAGGTTTTCAACCTTGACCTTGACTGATGACGTCATCTAGGCGCCATTTTGTGAAATTTTCTGAACCAAAAAGTATTTCTCTTCATATTTATCATGATCAAGGTCAATATCAGTCCGGTTAATTTCAGGTCAAAAAACGTGCGCGTGCGCGTACGTCCGCGCGTCAGTGCTTTCGCAAAATTTGTAAATGCTCAAAATCGTCTAAAATTTATTTTGCATACGTTTCAGGTCATATTAAGCATTTTATAAAAAAAAAAAATCGCGCGCGCGTTTTCGCGCGTAACACCATTACAAATCATAGAATCGCCATTTTTTTTTCTTTCATGATATTTCTCATATTTTTTCAAGGAATTTGATACCATGTTTATCTCTTTATGACCATTATTAACAAGATGAGCGTAAATTCAAGATAAATGTCAGTGCGCGCGAGCTCTTGTAATACATAACATACATGGGCAAAAAAATGCCTATACACAATCCATTATAGCTCTTTGGGATGCACCTGGACCCCAATTCTGTTTTAATATTTGAAAAGAGTATGAGTCAGAAATATGATTTCATGTCTCATTTGGCCATTAAGTGTATCGTGACATCATCTTAATGGCCTTGGAACTCAAAATACGAATTTGCATATTATGACGTCAGCATATTTATGGAAAATTGATTGTATCTCTGTATATATTGATTGATTTTCTTCAAAATTTCAATATGTTGTAGCTAAGATAATTCTCTACAAGTTCAATAGTAACCCTTTTTCATTTTGATGACGTCATCAGAGTGAAAATTTTGATTAAAGGCTTCATGTCAGAAATTTCATAATTTGCGTGTTATGACTATAGAAGGTGAATTTCGTTCACGTAATGAATCTACATGATAGTGTTTTTTAAGAATTTTCAAGCAGTATCTTGCTTAATTTTGCTCTTTTTTGTTTTCAAATTTAAGTTGACCAGCCCACCTATACTTGTTCCAAACAAGTATTACGTCTAGTTATATTTGCTTACATCTAACACTTACTTTATCAGAAGTCTCTAAGTGCTCTACAATAAGGCAGCATAATTACCCTCAGCAGTGCAGCTGTTACGCGCGCTGCGTTTCAAGGAATAAATTCCTACAAGGTACCCATTTACTTCACCTGGGTGGAGTGTGGCAAATGTAGATCAATGTCTTGTCAAAGGAAATTTGTGCCACGACGGGACTCGAACCGTGGACCTTGTGATCGACAGTCTGGTGACGTATCCACTCGACCACGACACCTCTAGAGAGAATACTTCCCTTTACCGGTACATTCATTCTCATCACCATTATTTAGTTCAGTCTGCATTTTCCTCTTTCGAGGAGTTACTGATATTTATTATGCTTAAATACTTTCAGGCATTTTATTAATTCCCAATCATGCATAAATGTTCATTAATTACTGGATGCCCTAGGAATGTTTTATGTGAGGACACTTTTTTCAAAGAGTGCGCCATTGATCGGATATTTTACTGTAATTACTGAGACTTTTATATCCACTCTTTTAGTTTTGGCAACATCCCTCACCATAATTGAAATGAGAGCTTGAAAAGGAAGAAAAGGTTTGTTTACTCTTGATTTTATTTTGTCAGGTCCTTGCCAATCCATTTGATGATATCATTCCTCGTCAGCTGAAGAAGAAACAGGAGAAGGAAGAAAAGAAGTCCAAGAGTAAATCAAAGGCAACAAAGTAAGTCTGGAGAATATATAATTTCTGTCCTGTGTTTACATTTTCAAAAAGATGTAATAAGAAAAAATCAATTGGTATAATTATTGCTTCAGTACTCACTATTTGATGTTTTTCTCAGGCCATTGAGTAAAAAGGTTGACAATTAGCATTATATTGCCCTATTTGTATCATGACGACCATATGTGGTCATTAATTAGAGTTGTGAGCCTGCTCTTATTTGAGGACATAGAGTACGGTTAGTAGAGGATGATAACAAAGCAGAAAGCTTGAACACTTTGATAATCTGGAATTGAAACTATTCATTCCTTCTGACTGTTATTGGAATTCTATAATGTTCTCATTTGGAAAGGAAGCTGAGGAGAATGAGGATACTGGTTTAAAAAAGAGTAACCACAAAGTAATTTTGTTTGAAAGCAACACAAATTTTTACAAATTTCTTCCTTCTGTCCATTATCAGAAACTTCACCCTTCTATCGTTTGCAGACAAAGCAGAAGATTGTGAAGAAGATGAAGTTGTAGCTAGCCAGTCTTTAATATAAACGCAATTCAATTCTTCTGTCTATTATCATTTGGAGAAGAGCTTATGAAAAAGTTTCATTGTGTGAAAATGAAACCATTTATTCCTTCTGTCTATCATCAGAAAGTTCTTTCAATTTAATCCTTCTCTCTATCATCAGATACCTCAGTTTCCTCCCAACTGAAGTAGAAGCAAAGGAGGATAACCAGGCAGAACATATGAAAAAACCTTTCATCTTGTGAAAATGAAACCCCTTTATTCCTTCTGTCTATCATCAGAAACTTCAGCCTACTTTCATTTGGAGAAGAGGCGGAGGAGGATGAGGAGGAAACAGTGATCGCCAGCTCGTCTATGAAGAACAAGAGCAAGAGTATGCATGATTTGGTCAAGGATCCCAAGCTTAGCTCAACCCCAGCTGTAGAGATAGAGAAGTAAGTATCAACAGGAATATAGGAGTTGTAAAGTATTTGTAGTTGCGTTGTATTTATATTTATTAGAAAATGTAATTCACATGGTACACAAATATTTTGTTTTACAATATAGGCATAATAATTATTACAAATATGGAGGGGAAAAAATTATTTGAAAGATACTTGGAAACAATATAAATAATTGAATAAGTATGTTTTTATGCATAACTTCAAATTAGATTAAATGTTCCGAAAATGACAAATGGTAATTCATATAAAATCTTTTGTGTTGATAATTAACTTATGTATTGCATTGATTATGGCAAATGATATATGGGTAAATCTTGTAGCAGTAATCATTCAGAAATTACAATGTAACTTTTTTGGGGTCCAGTTCGAATTGTCAGAAATTCATTCTCTGGTTGTTGCTATATTCATTTTATATCCCCTATTAATATCACAAGGTTGGGGTTTAGAAATTGCTTCTTTGCATTGTTTTGAAGCAAGAAGACCATTGATGCGCATTAAAGCTCAAACCTGAATCCATAAGTTTCTTGTATCTGTAATAATAATAATAATAATAATAATAATAATGTTCAATTCTTATATAGCGCATATTACAAAATTGTCTCTATGCGCTTAGATACGAGAGAGAGAGAGAGAGAGAGAGAGAGAAGAGAGAAAGACATGAAGAATATTGAGCTTTCACCGTTTAGCAATTACAATTATCAAATCAATTACAAAATTCACATGTTTACTATATAAATTTAAATTTAAAACTGGCATGATCGAAACAGATATGTTTTTAAGTCGGATTTAAACTGATGTAGTGAAGGACAACGTTTTAGAGACTCTGGAAGATTGTTCCATAGTTCTGGTATGGCATACTGGAAAGCACGGACTATCCCGATTAAAGAAATGTTGTCGTCAGTCATAATTTTGAAAGTACATATAAATGAAGTGTTACGTACCACATTTTTGCACCAGTTATCTTTATGGTATCCATCAAGAAGAAAAAATGTCATACTCACCCTCTGAGGTATTAGACCTGTGCCATCATTTCTCTTGATTTAACCATTCCCAGAAATGTCTGCTTATTTCTCATAATTATCCCCATTTTATATTTCTTTTACTACTGAAATTTTCAGAGAGGAGAAACCGTCAGATGAGGAGAATGATGAAGATGACGAGGATGGTGAAGAAGAGGAGTATGAGAGGAATATAAGAGAGAAGAAGAAAGAAATGGCGGACAAGATTCGATCCAAACTCATTAAGGAGACAAAGAAGTCAAAGGAGACGGTAAAGGACTCACCGAAGGAAGAGAAACCATTGTCAAGAAAGCAAGTCAGATTCTTTTGTGTTTGTAGTAAATAATGATAATAAAAATTTGGATTATATAGCGCTTTAAAGCCCATCTGTACTAGTGTACAGGAGGGGATTAGACGACCCTGCAAGGTCACTGGACAGGTGGTTTTCTCATCAAATCAACTCTCAATTAACATAAGAAAAAGAGGATCATAGGGGACCAATGGTCACCGATTATGCATTGTTTGTTATATAGAGGGCGCAAGTAGCTATAAGTAGTGCAGTGGGGCTTTAATACAGAATACCGTCTTTAAGTGCTTTACAGATATTATTACCCTGCTTTTGTCATCCTACCAGGTCTTCATTTCTCTCCTGGGTATTGAATGGCAAATGTAGATTAATGCCTTGCCAAAGGACATAAGTGCCGTGTCGGCGATCGAAACCACGACCTTTTGAATTTCAAGTCAAGTGCTTAAATCACTCGACTACGAAACTTCTAAATAGGTACCTGGTAGGAATTTATTTCTGGAATACTTGTAATGCTTTAGGACAGATGGGCGGAAGCCAGGGTAATAATAGTAATTTGTCGCCATTTTAATTTATCCCTCTGGGATGTATATTTGATAATGGTAATTATTATGATATTGTATCATCTATCTATAACTTCTAGTTCAAATCACACAAGGAAGAACAATGTAGATAAATAAAGAACATAAAATTAAAATTCTCAAAGCCAGACTTGCTTTTCAACTTGTGTCTGAAAAAGAGGTTATTTTTAGATGCGTTTTCTTAATTTGAATGAAATGAAATGATAGCATGTTTTGGTCTTATTTTACTTTCTGCAGGGAAGAGCTGCAAGAAGAGTCGAGAAAACTGAAGGAAGAATTAAGAGAAGGGAGAAAACGGAAGCTAAAACAGGAATCACAGCAAGAACAGGCAAAAGTAGAACAGGAAGAAGAAACCAAAGAAGGTAGGATTTAGAAGTAATTGATAGCATCATCAATGCATTGACAGTAATCATTTTGTCCATCCAGTCTGTGGTGTTTGGGTTGATTTAGGGCGATGCGGGTTACATGTATAGACTGCATATAATTTGCTTTCGTTTTATCATGAGGAAAAATTAGGTTCTCACATTTCCGCTTTTTTTATCAAGTTGGGATCTGCGTGTAATGTTTGAGTCAATTATATGATATGTATGATGCTGGAAGTCTTCCAAGAGCCGGAAACTCATTTTCTTATTGAATTGAGCTTTTTAAGTGTTTTCCAACTGCATCTATGTGTGTTAAATCAACAGAAAGCTATTTAGTTTCAAATTACACAGTGGGAAGTAAATGTTTTTCTAATCATGTGCAAAGATAATATATCTATTGAACAAACTAGAGATACTTTCTTTTTCATTTATTTGTAATTCTTCAGTTTATTTTTACCTAAATATTATCAGACCCTGGTCATTTGTGTTTGTAATCTCAAGTCGATTTGTGAAGCAACTCATGTTAGATATATTAACAAAGAACAGAATGATATTAACAAAGAATATTAGGTCAAAGAAAAGCAAGGATATTTGAAGGGTTGTCTCTATTTGAAGGTATTATCTGACATTTAAATTATCCCCTCATTTGGTTGGTGGTGTGTTCATTGAATGTTAAATCAATCATTGTTCTTTTTTTCCTTCAAATCGCTCTATACTCCAATGATAGATGGTACATTATAGGTTTTAGAGAAAGCAGAGTTAAATATTAAAGCAAATGAGACATTCAGAGCTGGGAAGTTATACTGATTGTAAGTACAGTCAAGCCTGCTTTAGTGACCACCTGTCTACAAAGACCACATTTTTTGTTTCCCTTGAAAATGGTTTCTCATTGAACATGTACTAAAGGAACCTGTCTGCAAAGACCACTTTTTGTCTTTCCCTTGGGCAGTCACTATAGACAGGTTTGACAGTATTTCTTACTCAAATTTGAGAAGGTTTCTTACAATACTCATTTCTTAAGATACTCATTTGCTTACTCTTTGACGTACTACACCTGGGTCAGGAGGGGCATACTTTGGTGGGATACCTAGGGTAAAGATTGCTTCATTCAATTATTTTCAGAGGAAACTTCAGGCCAGGGAGATGAACTGGAAGAGTTTCATGCTCAGAAGAAGAAGTTTAAGGCCAAGAAGAAGACAATGACCAAGAAGGGATCTACAAGGGAACAAGAGGCGAGTATAGAGAAAAATTGAACTACTTCTAGAACTTATTAAGTAACCTTATTTCTTTTACACAAATGTTTTATATTCATTCATTTTCACTTACATGTATGTGATAGATAATGGCTTGCCATTTCAAGAGAAGATGACTTTCAAAGGAGTCTCCAATCAATTCATTTGAACTTTGTATCTCAATATGTGCTCTTAATGATGCCAACACTATTATTTACAATAATGATATATCATTGACTTTTATGTGTGTGAATGTATGTGTTGTATCATAGTGGAATTCAATCATTTGATTTGATTTAATTTGATATCTTGTAAAGACATGAACATTGAAGTGAGAAAGGGCAGGGGAGGGAAAGATTGGTAGTGACTAAAATATGGCATCGTCGGTGAGGAGCATGCATAAACTCCTTGAATATAATTTGATCTCGGTATAGCACACTTTTTCTATAGACAACAACCCAATTGCCTCTGCAGTAGTATTCAATGGCTCAAGAATTCAGTGACGTTGCCGGGGGAATGCAATTCAGCGTTGGGTCATAGGAATGAGAAATCAAACATTTGTCTGAAATGAGAAGGGCTGGGGTGAAAACTGTTAGTTATTGTAACACATTCAAAATAAATGCTATTGATTGCAACTCAACTTTCTTGCAACGCCCTACTAGTCTCCTAAATGTCCCAGGATTTTGTTTGAATTACAGTTTTAACAATTAAATTAAGTAAACTAGATCTAGCTTTTATCCTCCCCCCCCCCCCCCTCTCTCTTTCTCTCTTACTAATGGGGCCTTGCAAGAAAGTTGAGTTGCGATAAATTGCAAATTTGCAATTTTTAATCGCAAGACTTACGCTTGATTCAGGGGATTTGCAATTGATTGCAACTTTCTTGCAACGCCCCACAAGTCTAATAGGGAAGAGTTGTTGAGTGCAATGAATCCTTCAGTATGAACTTTAATTCTGTACACAAGACATCACACGTAAAGTTCATCGGCAATGATATAATAAATATAAAACTGTTTTTAATAAGCCTGAATTCACGTCAACAAGCATGTATGCCAAGAAATGCTTTTGCAGAAAGAGCAGTCACATTTACAGGCAAGTGCAGCCTTAAAATTTAACGTGCCAAACTTATTCTAGTAGGGAAGAACTGTAGAGTATATTGAACCATTCAACATGAACTTGACCTTCCTGCCTCACACATCCTACAAAAACAACTTTACATCATTCACATCTGGCAATGTAATACAAGTACTCTCGAAAAAGCTTCAGTCATTTTGACATATGCCAAGAAATGCACAAGCAGGAAATATGGTTACATTTATCAGCAAGTGAATTGAACTTGAACTTGAACTCTAACTTGAATATGAACTTATCCCCTTTGTTTATCCTTGATAGGTCTTTATAATCTAGAAATGAAATGAATGTGGACTATAAATTAACAAGGCATAAATGAGCCTGCCTTGAAGGGATGTTGGTTGGATCGATGGTTTATTTTATCTGACTGCTAAGAAAACTTTATAATGCAACCAGGGACCAGCGGCTTTAAGTTCTTTACAAGGGACTTGGTAATGAGGATTAATGCCTTATCAATTTGCACTAGCAAATCCACTTGGTTTTGAATACAGGTCCTGCCAGTTACGAGACCACTTCTCTACCACTGAGCTATTTTGCCTTTTCAAGAATTGTATCTAAAGTCTCTAAGTATTATTTGATTTGACTTGATTTCTGGGGAACATAGAGCATGACAAACTAACATTCTAAATGATGAATTGGTAGTTATGTCTTTCTTTATCATGCTTTTGTATAGTACATTACTTACATGATTTTTATGTAATGTAGTTGATTGTGCATGGCCCTCATGTAAAACAGTGTTTTCACCACTGATGACGCGTCTGTTGTTAAATGAAACCGACTGAAATTAGAATAGAATGAAATTGATTTCATTCCTTTGCAGACATTGGCAATGTTGGCTAAGTTCCAGAATAAACTGCATTCGGCCATCTTGAATAAGAAACCAGAACCAGAGAAGGAGGATAAAGAGAAGGAAAATGAAGAGAAGGAAGAAGGTGAATACAGGGAAGGGGAAGAAGAGAAGAAGGAGGAAGGAGAGGAAGAGGAAGGAGAGAATTGGTAAGTTTATATCAGTTGTATAAGTATCGCATGGTCAGGAGTTTGATATAACAATGTATAAGGAACAAATAACTTCAGAATCTCCTGATTGCATTATGAAGACAATAGGTACAACCTATCAAAACGGCGAGCATGAGCAATTCTTGTTAAATGTAATGTAATGATGATAGTTAAAAAGACATGTCCTGCTTCTAGTACACTCCCCATCATTTGAGCTTACCTTGCTACCTTGCAAAAAACAAAAGAACTAAACAATTAAAGTTTTATTGCATGTTTGTGCTCTGTACCGTTCTCTTTTCAGTGAGCATCCCTCCTGACTGTACCTCTCATATTGTCAGTTTGAAGCCAGAAGGGCATTAATTCTGTGTTGAAATACACGTAGATGGGTTAATGTCTGCATGGTTCTGAACAGATTATAAATCATTTCATGAAATAAGAATGAAATAATGCTTGTTAGTAAGCAACCAGACGGCCGACCGCTTTATGACCTCTCCGAGGGACCTGGTAATGAGGATTAATGCCGAACCAAAGGGCACTAGCGCATCAACTTGGGTTTCGAACCCGGGTCATCGGATTACGAGACCACTGCTCTACCGACTGAGCTATCGCGCCTCCAAATCAAATATTGATTTGAAGAAAAAGAAGTGATTTGTTTGTCTATTGTTTTTATTTGTGTGCTGTTGATCAACATCTTTCGATTCTAGAACTTCTTTGATCATAAAATCAAAGTTTCCCACTCTCCCTCTCCTGTATCATGACAGGAACTCAGAATAAGATAGTGATTCTTTCACGGAGCGATTAGCTTGTCTGATTTCTCATGTAATTAGAAAGTAAAATCAGGTAATTAGGAACAGAATGTAGGTCAATAGGAACTCTTTGTCTGACTCAGGTTCCATATGACCCCATTCTTTAGGTCATCCAGGACAGCTTTACACTTGTCATGTGGAATCCTGAAGGCTCATTCAGACACGGGGGTTAACCGCGCTAACATTTCGGTTGCTTTCTGCGCCTCTCGAGATGGTCGCTCATTTGCCACATGTGTGCTTTTGCACAAAACACTGGGCAAAAAGTACCGTTTAACACCTGGTTAGAGAGTGGCAAGTGTAGATTATTATATCTTGGCAAAGGATACCAGTGCTACACCAGGGCTCAAACCCTTGACCTATGCACCCCAGTCAAGTGTTTAATCCAGTTGACTACTTCCCGAATATTGCCTCTTGCCTTTCATTTCCCCAACACAATTTTGCTGTAGTTGTATTTTGAGGTGGTTTACCATGTTGCGTGTGAATGGGGCTTAGTCTTGGTTTTATTTTGTCTATGTATTGCTTGAGTGATTGTCCCTTATGGGATGTGCTTCTTTGTCATCTTAATCATGTGGCAAGGTGCTGATCGATTATTTGTTCCATCATGTCTGAAATTTTGTGCCATTCTGTGAATTTTCAAAACTACTAACTTGTCTTTTTTTAAATATTCTTTTTAGGTCTTTCCATTATATCTTTACATTTTTTTCTAGCCAGTAGTAATATCTTTATATAACCTTCATATCTTGAACTGTGTTTCATTCTTCTTTGATTTTGATTCTGATTTTGATTATGAGGTAAGAAAAGAGTCAAAATCAAAATCAAAGAAGAATGAAACACAGTTCAAGATATGAAGGTTATATAATGTTTGCTTTGTCTTTCTTTCTTTTTATTGAATACATTATGCTACTTTCAGTAAACAACTCAAAATATCTGCAATCATTTCTTTGTTTCACAAAAAGTCGATCTTTCCTTTCAGTGACATTTTTGTAAACATCCTCTAGAAAAAGTTGTTTTGTTTAATTGTTCTTCCCATGCTAGGGACTGTCTTCTTCAACATGCTCTAAAGAAAACAAAATATCTGTTTTTCCTTGTCTTTTTAATGACAATTTGTTCTGTCTTACTTGCCTTTTTAGTGACTACATTAAACTACTTCCTCTGAAGAAAGCAAAATATTTGTTTTTTTCCTTACCTCTTTTATTTCTCAATTGACCACACTTCATATCAGGTCCTTGTCTTGGCACCTGATCAAGTTTTTACAATGAGTAATGTACTTAATGGTCAAAAAGGCCTTGACATAGTTTGTCTTAGGTTTTTATTCTTTCCTTCATTCCCATGCCATCGTAATTTTAATTCCAGCTGTCATAGACGGAATCTTTTTTCCCAGGAGTTGTTTTTGTTAGATCATCAAGGTTTCGTTGGTTTATGAAGTGGTTGACTGGTTGTCTATCATCTTTCAAACTCTGCTCTATTTATGTTTCTTGTTGTATCATTTGGGAGTTAGATTCTATGCTGTGTGTTGACACGATGCTCTTTTGATGAGAGGGGGTAGGGGGTGGGGGGGGGGGGGCTCCAAGCATCTTCGCTGCATCCACTAGAGATAGAAGAACTGGGGAGTGTTTCACAAAGACTAAGATCAACTATAAGTTGGACTAATGATTAATGATATTTTTGTTCAAGACAAACAGGAGTTGTCGTTGACTACATCACGATCCACTGACCAAACTGCCAAATTGAGATTCGCATAGACTTAGTGATCTCATATTAGAAACATTCATAACTTTCTTATATTGGATCGATTCATTTCAAACTTTCACCATTCTGTTTAACTTATTTTTTTGCTTTCATACAAATGAACTTATTACAATGTTTAGAAGCCCTTCAATAGCTGTATATATTGCTTGATCCAGTCGTATCATATTTCAGATCATTGCATTAGGGATATGCCTGTAATTATGTGTTCCATTTAGGAAATATTTTGACACTTTCTCGTCAAATTAAGTTCTTCTTTTTTGACAGACGTTGGGTTTGACCTTGGTTGACCGTCTTACCTGTATAGATACCTGTCCAGCTAGTAAATTGACCAGTCAGTCCTTATTAACTCACAGATGTTTCAGGGGAAACATAGTGGCAGACAGCGGAAATGCAGAACTTCTTGTAAACGGTGGGAAATGTCTGTGGGTTAATTGACTTGTCTAATTGATCAGGAAGAAAACCAAAATACCTGTATGCCCTCGGCGCAGCTATTTGAGATTTCAAATTTGTGTCAAGCAAAATCTTTTTTCAGCAAAAAGAAAAAATGCACAAAAATAAGCTAAAAACCAGAACAAAAAGAACTGAAGGATTGTATCAAATTCAAGATTTGTTTTCTAATGAAAAGAAAATGAATGAATACTGTTATAGGGAAGGAGAAAGAACACCAAAGGCTCATAGTGAACCAGAGTGAGATTTTATTCCAAAGAATTACAGTAACTTTTAAATAATAAGGAATGTTGTACTATTAGTCAATGTTATGTGAGAACGATTGTGGTATCACTGATAATGACAATTTTTGTTCATGATCCTTGGGATTGTTTATGATTACTAACTTATATTTATAGTTAGGCTTAATCTGACTTTCACTTGTGATGACTCTCACTATATTATTGTACATGTAGCTTTAAAAAAAAGAGTCCAAAAGTACAAAAGTACATCATAGCACATTTGATACCTGTATGTTTATTTATAAGGTGATGGGGATGTGGAAACAATAATGATTGACACAATAGGGTTAATGAAAGAAACATTTCAGGGATAGGAAACAAACGTATTATGGTCACTGAAATAGAGTTCCGTCTATGTCAAAAAAGGAGTGGCTTACCGCTTTTTAGTGCATACTCATCATCAACTTGAACATTCTTAACAATACCGAACCAAGGATACATTTCAAATCCCTAATTTACCAATTACCGTGTGTGCTGTGAAGGAATGAGGTAACTAACACCCTTTTGACCTTTCGCTGTAGTGCATTCTGTCCAATCTAACTTATAGAATCGCAATGAAAGAGAAATTGGACTTGATTTTTAATCCTTGTATTTGGAATCAAATTTCAGCGCGATTCTGCTCAGTCATTCCCACCTCACACCTATAAATACTCCTACACACATCCCTCTATTGGCACATGAAGACTCTTCGGTTGTGCCTTGCGCCCGAGACGGCCATATTTGTCTAATCCCGTCCGTCTGCTCCTAATTCTGGTCCGTCTCTAGAGGGGGTGCTCATTTCCCGTCGTATAACAAGTGGAGAGTGTTTCCTCTTCCACTGGTTGTGTTTTTGGGGTGGGAGATGGAGGGGATATCAAATGCATATTGACTCACTCTCATTGATTTGTTTTATCCATGTTTGTTGAGATGACTCGTAGAGACTGTCTCCTCACAGATGGTTTCGCTCAGGAGGAGTCATAATCCGCTCTGGATTTTCTCGTAAATTGCCCGATTGAGTGGCATACGTGCCGGCAAAAAATTGTAGTTTTGCCAAGATTTTCACAATCTGTAATTCATAACTTGATGGATAGTATAGTATGCAAACTGCAGTGTTGAATAATTTCTTTCAAACTTCCTATACTGCATGCTTTTTGAGTACAGCATTTCTTATTAAAATCCACTGCATACTGTATGATGAGATTGCAAACTGAGTTTGGAATAATATGCTACCGGTATATCATGAGATCTTAACACTTTCTTATGCAAAACTCTTCTAATTTAGGTCATAATCCAGCCATGTGGATAGTTGTAAGTGCTGGGTTTTGTTGGCATCCTGGTCAGAAAAAAGCCCCTGATCATTACATCACTCAATGTCCCTCCCATTGCACTCCTGTCCTCCTCTACCTTGTCCCATTTCCTTGCCTTCTGCAATGATTCACTACCCCCTCCCATCTCTGTAAATCGTTAGCATGTCACTTATTGTCACCTGGCTTCATCACCATCCTGAGCAAATTTTCCTCTCTCCTTGCACCCTTTCCAATTCCCCTGCCTCCCTCAAAAGTTGTTACCCCTCCCACCTCTTTCAAATCCTTCCCATGCCCCTGGTTGTTACACCTCCCATTGCCCCTCCCATTGCTTCTCTCGTTGTACCTCTTCCTTCCCCTCATTCCCCTGCCTCTCACATGTTATTACCCCTCCCACCTCTTTCCAATCCTTGCCGTACCCCTGACACCTGGCT